TTACCTAACAACCTGTCGGTATTTTATACCATTTTAATGTTCAGAATACAATTCTGTGACACAAAGTGTATAAATGGTGTAAACAGACTGAGAGTGAGTAATAAAATAGCACAGGTCAGCTAATGTGCAGAAAATACTAAATGTATTTGTACAGTTGTCCCCCTGTATCCACTGGGATACATCCCAAGACCTGCCATGGATACCCTAAACTGGGGATAGTAGGGAACCCTGTATGTACAGTGGAACCTCAAAAATCGAACTGCTCCCAACTCAACCAATTATGTAAGAGTATTTTTGTAAGTGCTTTTATAAGTGTATTTTTGAGGGTCTGAAATGGACTAATCTAATTTACATTATTCCGGATGGAAATAAATTCATTCGGTAAAGGCACATGAACAGCCTTCTGGACCGAAGAAAGTTCGATATTTGAGGTTCCACTGTACTTGAAAGTCATTTTTCATCTCCATTGATAAATTACACACAGTAAGTCAAGAATTAGCTCTTTTTCTCTGATGGGAAGCACTTCACAGCTTCTCTTAGGCTTTAAAGAGCTGCCGCCATCACGACTTTTGTGCTTTGGGGTCATTATAAAGCAGAATTAAAAGTTATTTTTGGGACACGGTAAACATTGGATAACAGTGGAATTGCGGAAACCGAATCCACAGATATGTGGGTTTTGCTGTAATTGAGAAGTGCCATGTTAGCAAGGCACTCTAAATTGAAGCACCGTGTTAGTAAGGTATGCCTGTATTGTGGAATGTTAAATCAGTGAATTGTATTTCCTGAAGCGCCCGGCCCACGTTGATCAGTGTTAAATCAGTAAAAACATGATTTATCAAACCTTGATGGATTTTTGGATTACAAGACAAAATCTGCTGAGGTGACTGAATAGACTATCAGAGTCCTCTATTTACACAATTGTCTGCTATTACCATCGCATCAAAACAATCTTTATCCACAACAGTTGCCATTATTGGGCCACCTGCTTCCCTTGATTAGTCCATGAAGTTGAAGATTTAATAGTAATTTATATATACGTAAGTGTATATATACAGTGGACCCCCGCTTAACGATCACCTCCGAATGCGACCAATTATGTAAGTGTATTTATGTAAGTGCGTTTGTACGTGTATGTTTGGGGGTCTGAAATGGACTAATCTACTTCACAATATTCCTTATGGGAACAAATTCGGTCAGTACTGGCACCTGAACATACTTCTGGAGTGAAAAAAGATCGTTAATCGGGGGTCCACTGTATGTATATATACATATATATATATATGTCGTGCCGAATATGTAAAACTGGTCAATTAGCAAGAACTCATTTAAAATTAAGTCCTTTCCAAAATTTTCTCTTATACGAGTAAAGATATATTTTTTTCATTTTTGTTAATGTAAAAATTTTTAATTTTGCACCAAAAGAAACTTAGAAAACTCACCTAACCTTATTATAACAAGAACAATTTATTTTAGCCTAACCCAACTAAATATTTTTTAGATTTGTTTACAATAATTTAATACTAAACAAACACAGTGAAATATATTTTTTTCGTTAGGTTCAGATTAATTTTGGCGAAATTATTGAATACACAAATTTTCACTTGTCCTATATGGCAAGATGAGCGTTGCTATTTAAGCCAAGATCGTAAGTTCTGCCTATTCGGCACGATATATATATATATATATATATATATATATATATATATATATATATATATATATATTATATATATATATATATATATATATATATATATACAGTGGACCCCCGCTTAACGATCACCTCCAAATGCGACCAATTATGTAAGTGTATTTATGAAAGTGCGTTTGTACGTGTATGTTTGGGGGTCTGAAATGGACTAATCTACTTCACAATATTCCTTATTGGAAAAAATTCGGTCAGTACTGGCACCTGAACATACTACTGGAATGAAAAAAGTTCGTTAACCGGGGTCCACTGTATATATAATATATATATATATATATATACATACGTAAGTGTGTGTATATATATATATATATATATATATATATATATATATATATATATATATATATATATATATATATATACTTTTAGGTATAGTTCAGTGTACAGGTGGTCCTTGACTTACAATGGGGTTACGTTCTAACAGACTCATCATAAGTCAAAAATATCGTTAGTCATATATGAGTAGGATATGCTAAATAAATAAGTAAATAAATAACTACCATCACTAAATAGGTAAATAAACAAATAATTACTGTAACTAAATACCCATATTGAAAAGTAAATAAATGAATACAAGTTTTGGACTTGCCAACTTCATGCCGGGTAATTATCTTAAGTTTCACCGTCAGCGTTGTATAGCCCTTGTGGCTTAGCGCTTCTTTTTTATTATAATAATAATTAAGTTTCACCTCCAAGGTAACTGCTGCCACACCATTGTAAAATCAAAATATTGTAAGTCGAGAATCACCTGTATCTACATGCTGGAAGTTTAATCCCTATTTTAGGGGTAAGTCAAGGACTTACAAACACGTTGAACATCTTTTGTATATAATGTTCGTAATACAGGAAATCTTCAACTTTAAGGACATGTTCGAGACCTTCTGTATTTTAACATTATGAACAATAATGTCAAAATGCACAATAATAATGATATACACAATACAAAAGATTGTCAACGTGTTTGTAAATCAAGGACTGACTGTACTGAATTATTGTCTGATAATGAAAATGTTAAGAATAGGCTTTAAACCCAATTAACCAGCTGTTTACCTTTTTTTGTGTGTGTGATGTTATGTGAGGCATGTTTAGCATGGCCCAGTAGGCTCACTCTGGTGCTCAATTATTCTCATGTTCTTATTTATTCCCGAACAAACCGCAGTACGGGTAGGGATTGACTGGCCTGGAATTTTACAACTCACTTTCCGCTAGTTCGATCTCCACCCGTACCGTGGATTTTTGCAAGCATGTCCTTACGATTTCGTGAGTTATTTCAAGCATTTCGAAGCCTCAAACCTCGTAATCATTATGAAAAAATAATTTAGCCCTTGATGGGGTTTGCAACTCCGATACGATTCAAAATAAAAATGTTTATGAATACTTTAGTGTTATTGTTCCTTATGTAACTTAAGATTCTTAGGAGGAAAATACATTGCTGTACAAAAACAAAAGAAGATGAAGAAATTTGAAAATGAAGACAAAGAAGAATAATAACCTCCCCCCTCACTTGCTGAGCCCTACAGGTTTAGAGCTTCCCCATGTTAATAAAGAAAATGTTAAATGGATTTATTTTATTTATGTAATGTTAATGTTAACATGAATTACACGACTTTCTGGTTTGAAAAAACTTTTGTTAGATTTTTCAAAAATAAAGTTGCTTTTTTTTATTATATATAAATAATGATGATGATAATAATGATTATAAAAATAATAACAGTAACAATATTAACAGTAAAAATAATAATAACAGTAGCAATAATAATAATAACAGTAACAATAATAATAGTAATAATAATAGTAATAATAATAGTAATAATAATAATAGTAATAATAATAATAGTAATAATAATAGTAATAATAATAATAGTAATAATAATAATAGTAATAATAACAGTAACAATAATAATAGTAATAATAATAATAGTAATAATACTAATAATAATAGTAATAATAGTAATAATAACAGTATCACCAATAATAATCATTTTTAATCCTTAAATGGACATTCCTTTGCATCATTAGGGGGGGGGAGATCTCCTCCCCTTCCTCAGATCAAACCTGATTTCCTCTTGGTCCCTAGGTGCTATGTGACCCTCAGTCACATATGGTTACTAGAGTTTATATTAATGGTACGTAATACACACATATGATGAATAAGACACATGTGCAACACCCGGGTGTCTTTATTGATGAATAAGACACATGTACAACACCTGGGTGACTTTATTGATGAATAAGACACATGTACAACACCTGGGTGTTTTTGATGAATAAGACACATGTACAACACTGGGGGTCTTTATTGATGAATAAGACACATGTTACAAAAACCCGGGTGTCTTTATTGATGAATAAGACACATGTACAACACCTGGGTGACTTTATTGATGAATAAGACACATGTACAACACCTGGGTGACTTTATTGATGAATAAGACACATGTACAACACCTGGGTGTCTTTATTGATGAATAAGACACATGTACAACACCTGGGTGTCTTTATTGATGAATAAGACACATGTACAACACCTGGGTGTCTTTATTGATGAATAAGACATGTACAACACCTGGGTGTCTTTATGATGAATAAGAACATGTACAACACCTGGGTGTCTTTATTGATGAATAAGACACTGTACAACACCTGGGTGTCTTTATTGATGAATAAGACACATGTTTCAACACCTGGGTGTCTTTATTGGATGGGAAAAAGACACATGTCAACACCTGGGTGTCTTTATTGATGAATAAGACACATGTACAACACCTGGGTGCTTTATTGATGAATAAGACAATGTCAACACCTGGGTGTCTTTATTGATGAATAAGACACATGTACAACACCTGGGTGTCTTTATTGATGAATAAGACACATGTACAACACCTGGGTGCTTTATTGATGAAAAAGACACATGTACAACACCTGGGGACTTTATTGATGAAAAAGACAAAATGTACAACACCTGGGTGCTTTTTTGTGAATAAGAACATGTACAACACCTGGTGTCTTTATTGATGAATAAGACACATTTACAACACCTGGGTGGGCTTTATTGATGAATAAGACACATGTACAACACCTGGGTGTCTTTATTGATGAATAAGACACATGTACAACACCTGTGTGTCTTTATTGATGAATAAGACACATGTACAACACCTGGGTGTCTTTATTGCTGAATAAGACACATGGTTACAAACACCTGTGTGTCTTTATTGCTGAATAAGATAGAGCACTGCACCAGCAGGCCTCTTCAGTCGAAATTCATAAGAAAAAAGAGTTTGAATTGAAATAGGTGAAACTAGTAGAGGGATAATTTCAGGGTAATTAGTCCCTCAGTCTTGGAGTGGAAGCCCACAGTAGTCTTGAAGACTCTGAAGAACAATGGTGTTCCAAAGGTCTTCTGGGCTGTCAGGTTTCAGGGGATGACTGTTGTTCCAACGGTCTCCTGGGCTGGTGTTACCTGGAGAAGGTTTCGGGGGGTCAACGCCCCCGCGGCGGGGTCTGAGACCAAGCCTCGTGGTGGATCAGGGTCTGATCAACCAGGCTATTGTCAGGTTTCAGGGGATGACGGGCGTTCCAAAGGTCTCCTGGGCCAGGTCTTGTGACTCAACAGTAAAGTAGCAGAGTGGGTAAGAGTAGCAAGTGTGGCATTGAGAGTTGCTAGATGTTGTTCTGTCCATTCCTCTACTGTAGCGTTATTGTGGTACTGTGGTAACACCGCTTGTGCTTCGATGCGCAGGTCCCCTCAGAGCTGAGGTGAAGCTACGTAGGCTTACCGTAGCTTCCCTTACGCGGTTGGGTGAGGAGAAATTGTGATGGATGTTGTATGGGGTCATCCAGCCTCCAGTTTCTATCTCTCTCATCATGGTGTTGATGTTATCTCTCAGACGAGCGTAGCGGTGAAGAAAGGAAACCATGTTGGCTCCCTGGAACGAGCAGTCACGAGATGCCCATAGATGTGGATCTCTTGTAGGATCCAGGATCACATGCGGGGGGCATTCCAGCAGGGTGTAGGCATCGTGTAGGACAGCAGGCGTCAGGAACCCACGTGAAGCAGTCAGGAGGGTTAAGACTAGCGAGGGGACAGACGGAGGGAGCAGTTCACAGAGCACAGCGAAGTGGTCATAACGAGACCAGCCAGTAACCACAATTCCAGCAACATTCAGACCAGCATAGCGCCTCATCCGCTGCCCAACCTGCACCCAGGCCAGGGTATTAGCAGCATGCTTAGCAGCATCGGGCATGATCGCGCGGGGTCCCGTGGCTCCTTTAAACGCTGGGGCCAACCATACCCTGGGAAAGACAGCTGCGTAGGTCCTAAGAATGTATGGTGGGACCATCCTAGACACGTCTGGACCATACGCCCATACTGTGGGTTCCACCAGACCAGCCAGAGCATGCAGCAGGTGGGAAGGGGCGTGGCGGAGCATATCATCCCATATCAACACACGCACGCCCCACCTCGATTTCACGTACTGCGCCACGTACGCCCACATGATCCACGTACAATTGTAAAGGTGCCAGATCACGAGCCTGACAACGGCGGCACTGAGCTAAAGTAAACACCTCATCTGCACCTATGTGGACGATTGATGTCTGCACCGCTGACATCATCTGATTGATGGCCTCAGTAACCAGACGTGACGTGCCCGGGTGAGACGGGCAAGCCTCCCCTGGGGACTCACCCTCGCGTAGCTCTGCCCACTCTGGAAGCTTGAGGGCATATTCCAAATGCCCTAAACTCTGCATCAAATGAATCATCATCAATCCTGCACCTTTGGCTGCTATTCCAACGCGTTTCACCTCATCAATTGTATAAGCATTGTAGGCTGAGAGGTTTGCTAGCGACCCTGTGAAGGGGAAGGAATCTTCCCACTCTACCAGAACCCCTGTTGCTCCTGCTTGCGCCGCTAGTACCATCATACCCTCAATCACCTCTATCCTAGGGGCAGCACCCTTAAGATCTAGATGCCACAGACGGTCAGGGGGCGCTTCAGTGCCAGGCTGGGTATGCAATCCCTGCCCAGATGGGAGATGCACTGGGGGAAGGTGTTGACGAGGTGTGACTAAGAACACAGATGACTTCAGTTTCAGTCGCCCTGTTGGAAACATCCACATTACTATCATACTCAAGGCTATTATCATCCCTACTGTCATGCCCACACGTCGTCGTCGTCACTTTAATGTCATTCTAGAAGATCTAGAAGAGAGACAACTGCTTCTGTTTATGAACTTGGGGGTTTAGTTTACCAGGGCAATCAAGGAGCAGGCAGTCGTGGCTTACTTCATTGTAGTCTTGGATTCTCTTTCGTGGATGCACCCGCAACCAGTCAACTAACACCCAGGTACTATTTTTACTGGCTAGGTGAACATGCAGCAGGTGTTCAGGTGACTTGTCTACGTTCAATACTGTTTCACCAGACCTTCACTTGTTTTACAGTACTGTTGTGATAAGACATCGATCTCTGTTGTATACAGTTTGATTGGTCAGACATGGCCTTGATTCGTGGACGGAGGACTTGAGCCGGGCATGAAGAGGAGGGAGAGGAGAGCGATGGTGTGGTATCTGTTGGGGTGTGTGTGAGAGTGTGTGAGTGTTGTGAGTGCGAGAGGAAGCACTCAACTGCGCCTATTTAATTGGAGCTCCACGCGGTTGCTGTTACACACACACACACACACACACACCACACACACACAACACACACCACAACACACACACACCACACACACACCACACACACAACACACCACAAAAAACAAACACACACACCACAAACACCACACAA